ATTCTACCCCCCCTTTGCCAAGGGGGGGGGGTGGTGTTTAAACACCCACAACACCCCCTAGATACGCCCTTGAATGATGATGATGGTAATTGACAAATATGATGAGGAGGATAATTTTGAGAATAATGAGAATCATTATGATAACGTGGCGCTGATGATAATAATGATGACGGTAGTTGTTGAGAATGATGATGATCATGATGATTATTTTCATTATTACTATCATTATTTTCATGACAAAAAATGTTGATGATGATGATGATGATGAAGATAATTATAGATAACAATGATGATCACATTATAATGATGATAATGGATTGATGAAGATAATTATGATGCTGATGATAATTAAATGTTAAAGATGGCACTAATGATGACGATATTGATGATATATGTTCCTTTCAAAATCTCGATTTACCCAGGTGAGATTTCAGGCGTTCTGTCTAAAATGCCTCACTTGCGACGTCACTCTAAAAAGATCACCATCCTCCTCATCACCCTCATCGTTTGCCTATACCTTCTCCTGATCGTCCACAGTATCAACGACAAACGTAATTTCTTTCTATTGAAACGTATTGTTTGAATTTAATTCTGCATTTTTCATTATGATAAAAGTAAATTACAAATTTATACAAACTAGGTACATGACTGTACATTATATATTATTAACAAAAGTTAAAATACACATAATAACCATGTCATAATATCAATCAATTAAATAATTATACCTTTCAAAAACACATAGTTGTCGAATCATTACAATATTGAAAAATGCTGGAGACACAATGTTCAATCTGTAATGCACGGCCCTATGTGTTATTAGTTTTTGTGATATGGTGTTATATTGAAGCCCTAACAAAATTTGCGCTTCAAAATGATCAAGAAGTGCCTCAAAAAAACCTTTGAGTGACCGGTTTTACCATACTCGTTTTTCCCAATAGACTGTAGTGTTATGAAAAACGTTTGGCAAACGCAAAATTTTATTTCGATTTTCAATCATAAATATCTTGATAATCAGACAGGCGATCAGTTTGTAAAAGTCGTGGGGCTACTAAAACATACAATCTGGGCAATTTGGGCACATTTTAATGTAAAATCAGTCGGTGCCATCGTTTCAAGTATCAAATTTTTATTGAACACCGTTTCCATGTAGTTGGAGCCGTCTGTGCACATAACTACATACCCAATACAAATTTGGTCTGTAGTCTTTTATTATTGTGTCTACATTCTATAGGCATTAACTAATGTTTCAGCTGAATAACAACGAAATGCCCCAGGCACTATAATATTGTTTAAGAAAAGAAATCAAGTTCACGCATGTCTATCCTACCCGACAGACGCTTTTCTATCACCTTCCAAGCACGAGAACACGCTTTGCACAAAATACATGTACCTTAATATAATTATACAGGTCCAAAGTTCTGGAATTCCCTCGATTGTCTGACTAAAAGGTTTATAAGTGTTCATGTATTCAAAAGAAAATTGAAATTTCATTATTTGAATACATATTGTCATTCCTGCACGATTCCTGATAATATTTGTCTCCAAGCAGTATACTTTTGTTGATTACAATGTCAATTGGTAAAAAACGGCATGGCCATGCCAACTATGTACTATTGTTGCAATAAGCTGCAGATATATTCCCTTCCCTTTCCCTTGGCTTTTGTGGTTAATTGTAAGTATCGGTTCATGTATCCCTGTTTATCACCCTTTCCGTGTTTTAACGCGTATTTGTATTTTTATAAACGTAACTTTAGTTAATTATGTCATTTATAATTTAAGAAGCCTATCCACAACAAGCTATGCTTTTCCATAGAGTCCGGCAGCCATCTCAATATACCTTGTTTTGGGGTCTATAGTTGGGTTTTTAATTTTTTTTTTTATTATAGTTCCTTAGACCATCAATTTAAAGAATTTGATTGCTGACACTCTGCAATTTGAGCAATTTGAGATATATGACGTCACACAAAATGGCTGCCAAATTCCCCCTTTTAACCAAAATTAATGATATAAAAAGTGTTAATAGCAGTTTTCTACATTAATGGCAGTCAAATATCTTGATTTTTTTTCTAGGATCATCACGTCGATATTTAAAGCGAATTTTTATACCCATTAGCCATTCCCAGATTAGTTATGATCTATTCTTGAACGATAAATTTGATATCTTCACAGAAGGTTATTGACCTATCTAAAGTTGTCACATAGATTAGACAATTAAAGGGAGTGTATCATGACAAGACTACGTGTTTTTCCCATGGCCTGTAACACCACTTTGAACGGCGCGACCGCAGCAATCACGTGCGTGCATCATACGCGAAACCAAGCGTGATGAAAACCTCGGTCTGTTTCGCAATTGCTAGCGCGCGCTGACTACCGTCAATCAAGTCAATTCATTTACGTGCAGTTGTCCAAAAGAAGACGTAGGTGGCGTCAACCAGTATTTGCCAGGCTACACTCCCTTTAAACATTCATACTGAATAAACGGCTGGCTCCCAGTAGTCGTTGTCAGGCTTGAGAAGATATAGGGTGGTATTCTCGAAAGCGGCCTAAGTTAAATCAGTGGCCTAAACCTGGTTTAAACCATGGACTATCTTTTTTGCTATTCTCGAAGGTGGCCTAAAGATAAGCCAGGCTTAAATACGTCATAGTTCGGCCTAACTTTAGGCCGCTCAGAGGGCAGGTTTAAATACGTCATAGTTCGGCCTAACTTCGTGTGACGTCACTTTTTAGTTAAATCGACTGTCCGCGGAGAGTGAACGGTAAGTTTTGCATTTGAATTTCTATATTTGATAACAATTTACACTCTTTTGTATGGATAAGCGCTCATGAAAGTTACACCAGCTAATAAAGTATTTTTGTTACTTTCATGTTGCTGTACTGGTGATAATCTAAAATGCTTTTAACTGAATAAATTTGGGGGAAACTTGGTAAATGTTCACAGTGTTCGCAGAGCAGTCCCATACGTGCAAATAATTGTCTGTTAACATTTTCATTTCCTGAGATTGAGCAATTTCTTACCGGGTAATTTTTTTCTTGGCACTATTGTACTTTCGTACGCTTATACCACCTTAACATCACCTTAAAAATATCATTGCTAGACGTAGAAACTACTTTTATAGTGGATTTTCGAGACGCTGTTGCCTAAAAGTGGACTAGCACTAGGCCTAAATCTAGATCTAGCTGTCTCTTTCGTTCGTTAGCCTCTGATTTGGGTAGGGTCGGCTCCTGAAAGAGAGGAACCGACCAAATCAGAGTCTGATTTGGTCGGCTCCTCTCTTTCAGGAGCCGACCCTACCCAAATCAGAGGCTAACGAACGAAAGAGACAGAAATTTCGGTCTGGTATCACCTCTGCCTGAGCTGCAGTGCTAGTTGTGGCTGTTGGTGCGATCATTTCCTACAGGATGATGATGATTTTCATAACCACCCCCAAGAAAACATTTTTTTTTTAAATGTTAGGCCTACTACTAGACCTAGACCTCTAGCTGGCTCTAGACTAGATCTTAATTTCATCAATAAGAGTCTAGTCTAGACAGGTCTAATACAAATTGAAAGGAAATGGACAGAAGCTTCCTTTTTTTGACATAGGTCTACATTTGCTGATAATGTTACAGTAGTTTAGGCTTATAATACTTGTTAGTAAACTAGACGTCTACAGAGAAATTGTAATTTCTTATCAAATATCAACATATTTTTTCATCTTGATTTTCTGCTATTTCAGGTTCTTTTCAATTGATGCATGGCATGGGGATGGAGAAAAAAAGGCCTCTCCCAAGCTGTGGTGTCCAGCCTTGTGAAGTCCATCTCAACAGCCATTGCCAGGAGATGGGAGCAATACATCACAATTCCTTCAGCAAGAGAGGCAGTCCTGCAGAGTGCAGACCCAACATGAATTGTATAATTACTGCCATTTCCCTGGCGTTAATATGGTCGGTGCTATTGATTGCATCCACATAGGCATCTCCAAGCCAGTTGGCCCAACACCAGTTATTTCCTGAACAGGAAAAAATAGATACTCCATTTTCTTGGAAAGTCTGCTGGTGAGTAAAGCTGTAATTACGCCTAAATTTTGTAAACTAAATCATGTTTATACAATTTGTATCAAAAAGATCTGCTGAATTTATGAATCTGCAGATGTGTCTACAGGTACATTATGAAGTTATTTAAAATTGTTTTGTCTAATAAATGTAGGTGCAACCTACACTCAAACTTTTATTCATTTTACATGGGCACGAGCTAATATTTCAGCTCGATTGCCATGGCTACCAGTCATTCCTGACAGTGACAGCTTGGCCTAGACTTTTGGGCGAAACTATCTGAAAATAAGACACAAATAATCAACAGTTGAATAACTACTTTCAAATTTGGGTCAGAAGAAAATTCAAACCTACCACTAACAATTCTGGAACAAATAAGACTTAGAGACCTACAGACTACAGTACAGTGCAGTAAATTTTACTTTTACTTTTTCCCCTTTCAAGCTCATTTTGGGAGATAACATAAACAAAGACAATCTTTGGTCTAATGTTAGATTGAACTGAAATGGAAAAGTTGGGCTCTAACGATTAGGGCCTTGTAAAATCTCCATTCCAGGCTGCGTTTACATCTAGGTTAGGCCAACTGTCGGCTCGTTATCTAAGTAAGATGTAGACTTGATTTCAGGAAAGGGACTAACTTCGCTATAGACTTTAACTACTTAGGGCTTTCTTAGGCCATGACATGGCAAGTACAACTTGGTGCAAGCACATTTATGAGATAGTACTGCAAGAATGTGTATGTTTGTTCTTGACTTTAAAAGAGATACCGGTAGTCATTCTGTAAATCAATGATTACTAGTAACTGAGTGGGGAGGGGGTGCCTAGTCACTGCCTACATGAAAGGCGCCTTAAGTTTTTTTGGAAAACTTAGAATATGATTGACACTATAACGAAGACCAATTATCAATGGAGTAGATCTTTGATATTTTAATGAGGTCTAAACCTTTTTATTTTTGTTTCAGGAAGATGTTTTTCTTCAGTAAAATAAATGAAGGCAAATTCCCTGATAACTGAGACAAATTCAGAGAGAGGAAGGAGAACTACTGAGCTGCTGAATTTCTGACAGGTAGGCTGTAAGAATAAGTTGTTGTTTGTATGCCTAGGTACTTCAAGGATGGCATTTGTTCATTCACATTTTTCCATCAATACTTTCATGTAATTGATTAATATGCACTCCACTTTTACCACAATGTACATGCAAGACCTTTTTAATGTTTAACAGAAATAGGTTTCAATGTGCTTCCTTTCATTCTTTTCTCTTTTCATTCAACAGACATACTTGCAAGGACTATGAAGTTCTACTTAGCCTCTTCAATGAACCAGACTCCATCTGCTGTAACTGTGACTGCATGGGGATCAAAACCTGTGTATTATAATCCTCATAACATGAAGCTATGGTAACAAACAAGCAACCATTGATAAAAAGCCTGATATGTCCTTGTTGTGTGTGTGAACCACAAAGCAACCATCACTCATAAGGATGTTTTTATGTACATCAGATGTTCATTGTTTCACTGGAAAAATTGTGATTTTGAATCATTTAAGAAATTATGTTTTATAATGCGTTTTATAATATAGTGCAAGTCATGATATAACAGATTCCCTGCAAAAGAAACACGGCTCAAAAGTAGACTAAGCTTTGTTTTAAAAAAATAGGAGAAATTAGTGTAACAAATACATAACATTTAATTCTAATAGTTTCAAGTAGCAGATTATGAGGCTATTGGAGCTTAATATTTGACCTTCAATTTTATAATCGTATTCATCGTGAATTACAATCTTTTCTGTTTTAAGAAAATTAAATAAATTGAACATAATTGTTGATATGTTATATACAATACTCCTTTCATATCTTTTGATTTTAAGTGTGCATACTGTTGGGTTCATTGAATTATACATGGAAAAAGTCTTAAAATTGAACAGTGAGAGAACAGAGAGCAAGCGAGAGAGAGAGATAGAGTAAAAGAGAAAGGGAACCAAATGAGAAAGAACAATTTAATGGTGAGAGAAATAAACAATGATGTGAGATAGTGTGTGTGTGAGAGAGAGAGAGATGGAGTAAAAGAGAAAGGGAACCAAATGAGAAAGAACAATTTAATGGTGAGAGAAATAAACAATGATGTGAGATAGTGTGTGTGTGTGTGAGAGAGAGAGAGATGGAGATAGGAAGAAAGAGTTGGGGGGGGGGTACAATGCCCCCTTTTTCAAATGCCCCTTTTTATATAGGAAAGTTCCCTTTTAACTGTGCAAGAAGTGCCCCTTTTTCCATAGGTAAAGTGCCCCTTCCCCTTTTCACCTCTGATAAGTGCTCCTTTAATTTTGACACGGGCCCCTTTTCCTTCGACAAGTTTCCATTTCCTTTGCAATAAGTGCCCCTTTTCACTTTTCAGAAGTGCCCCTTCACCTCTGATAATTGCCCTATTTAAATCTGAGAGGTGCCCCTATTAACAAAATTATCGGTGCCCCTTTTCTTTCAACAAATGCACATTTCCTTTATTATAAGTGCCTCTTTTTCATTCTCATAAGTGCCCCTTTTAAAATATGTTCAATGCCCCTTTTCAGGTGCGATATGTGACCCTTTTCACCTCTGATAATTTCCCTTTTAACAATGATACAATTCCAGCAAGTGCCCTTTTTCTTGGTGCTGCCCCCCGCTTTGGAAGTCGCTCCGCCGTCCCTGGACGTCATATTGCTCAAGTTGTCGAGGTGATGCATCCTCTCCACACAGCGCGCATCCATTGTCTTAGCCCATTGTCTTAGTGCATTGTGACGTCATATTGCTCAAGTTGTCGAGGTGATGCATCCTCTCCACACTGCACGCATCCATTGTCTTAGTGCATTGTGACGTCGCAGCTTCGGTACTGAGCATGTGCAGAAACCGTAACCATGGTGAATAATCCATGGACTAAGTTAGGCCAGGTTTAAACCATGGATCAGTTAGGCCACCTTTCGAGAAATGAAAATGACTTAGGTCAGCGGCCTAAGTTAAGCCTGGCCTAACTAAACCACGGTTTAACTTAGGCCAAGTTTAACTTAGGCCGCTTTCGAGAATACCACCCATTCACTTCATCTGTCAATAATTATAGGCCAACATCATAATGCCACAATCATTTCAGGAGAAGAGGTAAGAAAATATTATTTCAACTTTATGGGCCGCAGTGAAGGCCTATATGGTATATTGTATAGTGTATATTGTACATATTATGTAGTAAGTTGTAGGCCTATCTAGTATCACGAATCTTTGTATATTGCATAAATTATTAGGTATTGCATTGTTGTTGTTGTTGTTAACTTGTTGCATAGGCTATCCGATAACTAAAAGTGTTCCAAAAAGCTTTCAACCGACGACGTTTTCTTTTTCTCCTTCTGGTCAGTTTACGACAGAGAGGCCCAAGGGTTCTCATGGTCGCTCAGAAAGCTTCGTCCCGTAGATGTCCTTGGCGTGGTCAGACAGGTTGCATCCCGGATCAACGGCGACGTCGCCCACCGCAACGACGTCTCCTACGAAGACGAAGACGATGGCGATGTCGATGGAAGCGAGAATGACGTAGAAGATTGGTTAGGCGACGATGAAGAATACGGAGATATTCTTTACAATGTCGATGGTGTCGATGGTGATGTGTCCGATGGCAAAGTCATTGACGGCGAATTGTAAAGAATGGGCGAAAATTTGAGGGATAGCGCGATCAGTGGAGCTTGAGACCGCGCTGTGTGTGAGATCGATGCGTGGGATATAAGAATACAAATCAAAGAACGGACTGATTCTGGACTAGCCGCTGTGCTGCCCTCGGCGGCCGCTTCAGGTTCTCGAAAGTGGATAGGATGAGATCCCGATCTGCCTTCCTAACAAACTTTTGCGATGATCGGAGTAGGGGATGTGCGGGGGACTGTGGCAGAGGCATCACTGTTCTCAGGGGTTGCGACGGAGAAGCCTGCGGGCGTTAATTAACGAGCTGTATCCCCTTGGCCTTCTCCTGATCCACGCCAAGTAGAATGAACACATCCAGTAGTGTTTTGTACAGGGCTCAAATTATTTTTTTGTCCACGGGGGCTCTTCCCCCCCCCCCCAAAAAAAAGAGCGCCCGTGAGCCTTCTCACGGGGGCTCTTTTAGTACTGACGGGGGCTATTTTTTATACAAATATCCATTGAATTGGTACCTATGATACTCCTCAATTATTTGCTATTTCATCATTATCATTTCAATCAGCATTTTCCCTCTTACAAATTTACAAGCTACATAGCTGTTACTGGCCTGTGTATACAATATATACGCATACAACACTGATCTTTATGTCTTTAAACGTGACATATCTTCTTCTCCCCTTGCAAACGAGAAAGAAAACAAGGTCATTAAAAGGGATTAAGCGACAAATAATGATTGTGATTCAAATTGATGCGAATATTTGTTTGAATAAGCACTGCTATTCACCCGAATCTTCTTTGTAAAAAACAACTTTTACAAATCTCAGCCATGCTTACTGAGTTGAGACGTTCCATTCAATTTAAAATACCCATTACATAATACAATTCTCCTAATCTGAAAGTGATCTTACAGCACAGTGGCAGAATTGCATGGCTGAGATTTGTAAAAGTCGTTTTTACAAAGAAGATTCTGGTGAAAAGCATTGCTTATTCAAAAAAATCCTTGCATCAATTTGAATCACAATGATTATTTGTCGCATGGTCCTTTTATTAAATAACCTTGTTTTCTGTTTTGTTTGCAGAGGGAGAAGAAGCTATGTCACGTTAAGAAATCATAAAGATCAGTTGTATTATGCGTATATACATTATGATACCTGAACAAATGTTGATTATCAGAATGTCATTTTGGAATACCTCTATACAAATACCACATTGTCTTTAGCCCGTATCAGTATTAGTTTGATCCAATACAAAGCTATTATTCTTTATTTAATTCAGTATAATGCTTTTCCTCAAAAATAGTTTTGCTATTTTTTTAGGGTTGAGACGCTAAGAAATGGTTTCAAATGTACATTACACGAACCCTGAACCATTGCAAAATGATGGTGGTTCTCTCTCTCTCTCTCTTTATTTTAATCATGCATTATCAACTACATATAAAGCAGCAACCAAAAACTTAGGGTTATCTGAGATAGGTGAAAGTAAGAGTTAAAAAGAAAGTCATGCTAAAACGGTGCTTCACTTCCCCCGCCCCCTGAAAAAATTAAATAGATTAGTAGTCCTCCTCTCCAGCATCCCCCTCCCCCCCCCGCTTTAATATCACATTTTCACGTGGCAGCCCAAGGGGGGCGGGGGTGGGGTGGGAGGAGTGGGTTAAACCCCCTACCCCCCCCCGTAGATCTGCCCATGTTACCATATCATTCCACGACATTTTGGTCTTCCTCTTCTCCTCAAAAGGGACTTTTAGATTTGCGTGGACGTGTTACGTCCTTTTAAGGCACTGGCAGTCACATGTGACGTCCTTTTAAGCACTGGCAGTGCCTTAAAAGGAGGTCACACGTTGCAGTCCACGTTCTCATCGTGCAAATCTAAAAGTCCCTAATATTGATTTACTGGTCGAGGTTCATTATTTGCTGCCAACGAAAAAATTCTCCAGGCCATGACCATGTTTCTGCCATTGCGCGATCGCCTCCAGCTCCAGCAGACATGGCGCGGCAGCCGCGTGCACACGCACCGCTACTAATGGCGCAGTAGGCCTATAACCACTGCTGACGGCGGCACTGCACTGCGAGCTGAATCGGTAATAATAGGCCTACTCATAAAACGAGAAATCTTGCACTCTAATCTTAGTTCCATTTCATTGGTTTAGGTTTGAAAATTGAAACTCAATATTGTGTTTAAGTTATAACAGAAAAGATAATCTTTATTTTATTATTCCACCGGGGCGATTTTTAATTTTGCAATCGCTCCCGTGAGCAACCTGACGGGGGCGATTATGTAGCTCACGGGGGCGAATCGCCCACCGCCCCCGTGTATTTTGAGCGCTGCTAGCTGCCCACTGACCATGCTATATGCAAATGGTCAGTTACAAGACAAGTAATGGTTTGGTGCTATAATTAGTGAAATAAACTAACTGATTACGATGGAGACTATGCAGGGGAACCACTCCTAAAGAAATTTGAGAACATAATGGGACAAAAAAATGGGAAAACTTTTTGTAAACATTCAAAACTTGCTATTTTTTAGTCAATTTTGACCTTGACCTTGACTTAATGCAAAAGCCCTGAGTTCTGGCGTAATAAAAAGTATTACCAATTGAATTGGCATCCCAAAGTTAGTGGGAAATGACACCTTAAACGTTTTGCTGGACTATTTGGTTCAAGAGTTAAGCGTGTTTGTACAATTATTAGACCATGCTGCGGACTGGCGCTATTTCTTATTTGACCTCTCAGGGTCATCAGAGGTCAAATCGAAATGTGAAATAAACCAACTGAAAGGGATTAAGGAGGGGAACTATGCAGGGGAACCACTCCTAAAGAAATTTGAGAACATAAGGGGACAAAAAAATGGGAAAACATTTTGTAACTATTCAAAACTTGCTATGTTTTAATCAATTTTGACCTTGACCTTGACCTAAATGCAAAACCCTAAGTTCAAGCGATCTCAAAAGTGTTACCAAATGAATTGGCATCCCCAAGTTAGTTGGAAATGACACCTTAAACGTTTTTTCTGGACTATTTGGTTCAAAAGTTAAGTGTGTTTGTACATTAGACCATGAGGAATAGCGGCCATTTTGGATTTGACCTCTCAGGGTCATCAGAGGTCAAATCTGACTTCCCTCCACATCTGAAAATAAATCTTATGGTCTAAACTAATTATGCTAGAAGTTTCATGCTTTTCTCAAAAAGTGCACAATTTTCATTATATTGGGAGCTTATCCGCTGTACTAGATTGCTACTTTTGCGCTTCGCGCTTAACATTTAGCTCGTTGCTTTTTAACGCTGCGTCTTTGCATTTGGCGCACTGCATTTCTATGATGCTGTTGATTGAACACATTGAATAAATTCATCAATTCCTGATGAAGCCGTATGAGCGAGAATTAAATTTATTCTTGTCTCATATACGGTTGTCTCATTTACCTCGTATATATGTATGTATTATGAAAATGAGATAACAATATGTGTGTATTGATGGTCATCTTGCGAGTAATAACCATTAACTACTCTCATCGGGCTCTCACCATAAATTTTTATTTTATTTTTTTTGAGGGTGAATTATTGGGGGGGGGGGGGGGGATGATTGTACAGGCCACCCCCCACCTGAAATATTGGGGGGGGGGGTATATCCCCCCCCCCCCCCCCCCCCGGGATCGACACCCATGGCAGAAAATATGTCAATTCACAATCGAAGATAGAATTCACAAGATGCATAGGTTAAACTTGACAAAAGCTTTCGATTTATTCTCATCGGGTGAAGTGAGCATTTCATGGTTGTACCTATAGCTCAAAGCTATATTATACACATGTACATGATTACATAGTGGTGTTTAATTTAGGACCAGGATTATAAAGCTGTCTTATGGGTTAACAGTTGATTTTAAGACTTTGACTATATTATTTGTTATCATGGACGGCCAGGATGACAGATGATACAAAAATACATGTACATAAAACCTTCTGCACAATTTACAATCCAATTGTGATCAGAATTAGGACAAAACGAAATTGTATTTTAAGCATTACGTAAGCATTACTCATGACAAATCAAACATCATCTTGATTGAGATTGAAAATGATAATACAGTTAACCAAAAAGAATGGTTGGGACCACAGTAGAGAACAATCACTTAGGGACAGACATGGGCACCCAATATCTGAAGAACAGGATCTCACCATCTTTCTCCATAGAGCATTCAGGATCTCTCAAGTACTTGAGGACACTCTCCCTGAGATTGTCTGGCGCCGTCTTGCGGAAATCTTTAGAGTGGGTCAAGAAGTCGAGGAGGTGGTCACCGTCCTGAGAGCCCTCCTTAAAGACGGATGTTCCTTTGATGTAGCGAGTGACCTGTTCTCCGGAGTAAGGCATGTTCTGGGAGTCTAGGGTAGCTCCTATCATCTCATCGGTCAGCAGGACGGGCCTCAAGTCAGTCACGATCTCGTTCATATTTTCATGGACTTTGATGATAGTGCACTCCCCTGAAAAGAAGGAAGCAAAACAATAGTCATAAAGATAGCATCAGAACCAGAGACAGAGATGTTGAGTCTAGAGAGAGAGATAGGGGTACAGACAGCCAGCCAGACAAAGAGAGACAAAGAGAAAGTGAGAGGGAAAGAGAGCGAGAGAAAGAGAAAGAGAGAGAGAGAGAGAGGAGTGGGGAGGGTACGGAGAAAGAGAGATGGCGAATCACTGCAAGTGTAAGGCAATCTGTAATGTAATTGTTAACTTAGTTGTAGTATAAGAGTAAAAGAACTGTAACAATCTCTCTACTTACTAGACACGATGATAATAAAGAGGAGACCTCCATCTTCAAGCATATCATGTAGTCTCTTCAGGGTCTGTTTCAAGTCTGCGGCATAATAAAGGACATGTACTGCGTGTATCAAGTGGAATTTTGGTGGCTGAGCACCGCCCTCACAGCTGAAGATCTTGTCCAAGTACTGATCTGAGGTTTCAGTTTTCCACTCAAAGGACGCTCCCTTCAAAGTATCTTCTTTCTCATTGACCAGTTTCTTAAAGCGGTCGTTCTGAGCCTCGGAGGGGTCCAAAATGGTGTTGGTGATCTGAGGGAATGTCGGAAGGAGCTGTTCCAGCATAGCACAGTCAATGTTTCCTACAGGAGGATGAAAATATGAAAGAGAGAATTATAGCATCGAAGAGTAGGACTGATCAGAGTTACATGTATTTATTGCATGGTGTCTTACAAACATAGGAGTAGGCAAACGCAACAAGAATGGAACAATATGGAGCAACCGATAGACATAAAGAAATTAATTTTCCTGGACAGGATGGACTGAAGACACTAGACAGGTATATAAAACGGGAGCTGAAAATGTGCAAGGTTAACCAAACCCATATCATCTGTTGAGAGCCAGAAAGGTGTTAACCTTGTGATATGCCATTTATTTCTTTGTTCTGTAAGGATATACAGTGTGGATTTTTTATCTTATTCTATCTTAATAGCTGTCATATCGTTTCCAGATAGTACAGGAATGGAGAATAGTTTTCAAAACAATTTTTTTTACAAGAGTGAAATCCAAAGGAGACATAACATTATATCCATCAAAGTAACCTTCATAGTCAAGCAGTGCTTCTGCCATTAGCTGGGCATTGCTAGCACATTTTAAATCTGGTTGTTAAAGGGGAATTCCACTCTGATACCAAGTTAGTTTTAATAGAAGCAGAAAAATGAGAGGAATATGTCAGCGAAAGTTTGAGTAAATTCAGATTAATAATAAGGAAGTTATGAATATTTGAAGTTGTGATAAATCAAACACAAATCGGCCACTGTCACGTATCTTGCCAGGTCCTTTACCATTTGCTCTGTACTAGTTGTTTTTTTTAATCAGAATTTTCTTATTTTCCCTCAAGAAAATAATCAATCGTACATGCACCCTAAATAACGTTATTGCAAAATATGCAACACCTGTACAGAGCAATATAATGGGAGCTGGAAATTGTATTTGACTGATCGCAACTTCGAAAATTCATAACTTTCTGATTTTTAATCAGAATTTGCTGAGTCTTTCACCGACTTGTTCCTCTGATTTTTGCAGTTGTAGAATTCCTACCTCTAACTCTGGATCCAACACTATACCCAACCGTAAACCTATGCTTAAACTTAACCTGAAACCCAACTGTAATGCTAACCCTAATCCTATAATTTCGATGAAAAATCCCAGAGCAATTTATTGTTGTCGGAGCGAATGTGAGATCAATGCAAAAGGCCCTTACCAGCTCCGCTGCCGATACCTAAAACTTTGAGAGGATCTGCAGACTGGCATCTCTTGGACAGTTTCTCCACGACCTCTTCCTTGAATGCTGTATCTACCCATTCCTGGATGGATCCATGCCTGCCTGAACAACGGATGTACGTTTGGTAGACCTCCGAGTAGTAGTCTAGATCATTGAGAATGTACTTCATTTCAGCCATCTTGTTTAAATTGTGCTGGAAAATGGAGGAGGATAACAGAACAGTAAATGAGAAGATTCAGGATTCACGATATTTTGTGGGCACTCATGTAGACTTTCTCAAGATAAGTGATCAGTCAAACGTTTTCTCAGCGCTGCCTGGTGTCTTGCGATCACTGGACCAAAGACAGGTGACGATAGGTGTAGCATCAACTACATTAGGATATTTGCAAACAATGTTAAACGCATCTGTTCTCACTCTTGCGACGTCGCGAATAAATAAGCACATCCAATATCTGCATGTATGTATTTTATTTCTTGAGCCCTTTGCTCTACGACGATTGACGCACATCAATGATGGTGGAGATGGTTTAACTGTAACAAGACAGATGAACAACATAGTATTACAGTTCGTTAATTTAAGTGCTAAGTTAATTAATCAAAATAATCAGGCAAATTCAGTCGGGTGTAAACACCTCTCTAGTAGTGACGTGTAACAATTTACATGAATGAATTGCTTATAACAATTAACAAGCATGATCACAAATAGTATAATAGTGCTTATCGCTTGAAAAGTAATTCAACACAGGAACATTGGATAAAATATCTAATCACAAAGTACTAGGAAGACCAAAGTAAGTATATAGATATAAATGATAGTGCTTCTCAGTACGGCGTCTGCTTCCCATGTTTCTCTCACAAACTTCTTTAACATAATTCCACTTTCGATATATGCCTAAATACAATGCACTAGCTACACAGAAAAGTTATATATATACAACACTTAAAATTATTAATTGAATAACAAAGGTTAAAGTATTTAACTCACCAACTGTTTTTCTCCAAGCTTAACACAATCTTTCAAGTGATATAATTTTCAGACTACCGTTGCTTATGCTCTGTTGGCTCAAAACGTAGTGACCACTCCCTGCTCTGGCTAGTGGTATATTACAGTGTTATAGGACTCATGCCCCTTTCGGTCAGCTAATGTCCTTGTAGGGTCAAAGGGGTCAGGCATTTAGGAATGTGAAATCTTACTGAACATACATGTACATGTACACTGTACATTAATGCCTACACTATAGCATGCACAGTTTATGAATACTGTTTTGGAGGATGTGGGTTTAAAGGGAAATATTATACATGTATATGTGGTTAATTTGTAATTTTAATGTTTCGAAGTTCAGTTCTGACGCTACAATAGGTATCAAGAGTCCCTGTTTAGTGTAGGCTTAATCCTCTTAATCTTTATTGACGATTGAAGCGGACGAATATTTTTGTACAAAATACGGTGTCCCCATTGTTATTGATCTTACTTAAGTTCTCCTAGTTCCCGTACGTCAATGTGAATTCGGAAAGTTACCAAAGCTTTGATATGAACCCATTCAAACGCTGAATCAAAAGTTGCATTGATTTTCAAGTCTGGTGAAACAACAAAACCAAAACCAGAACATTTCCGGATGATATCTTTGACTTGGTGCATAGGTAAAATATTTAATCAGATCTTATCGGAGAGAATGCCAACTTATCTCACAGCCATTGAATTCATAGATAAACGTGTCCAGAAGGCATTCATTAACGAAGTGAACGGCTTCACTTGCTACTCTCCACCCAGGTGTTAAATGGGTACCCGGTAGGATGCGACCGTCATTGTTGGTCAAACAATTTTTTGAGCGTCAATAAACACCTGGCTGGAATGTTCTGGCTGGATGGAAAGTATTGAATCCAATGACCGGGGTAATAGTATATCTGTTAAGTGCTTAGAGACATCACATTTAAAAGCGGAATTATTATTATTATTATTATTATATAGAACACAACCAAGTCGTACGTGAAATTCTGAAACATGCTATAGTTTCGAAGCCGATATTCAAGAACATACAACATGATTATGATACATTAAAAACAAAATCAAACATACATTCGCTTCCTGCTGTCCTGAAGGAAACCAAAGAAGAACACGTTCTAAACTGCCAAGGGCATTCGTATAATTTTTTAATAGTTTTGACATCCAGTATACTTTGTTTTCAAGACGTATCGTAAAACAGCCTCTGAGGAACTAATACTTCAACAAGCTCTGCTTCTAGTTAGTTCCTCTTTTCTCGTGCCATTACTATTATATTCGTCTTGTTTCATTGTATATTTTTTTGTAATATACTTATAAATTGTATTATTTTTTTCCATGAGAAATAAAATAATTTGAATCTTGAATCTCGTCACGATCATACTTAAAGGGATCCGGTAACTTTGGTTCTAGGACACCTACCCCCTGGACATCCACCCCCGGATAACCGCAGTCAACTATCTCCTAGGGCAACTACCCCTAGGACAACTACCCCTTAAGGTAACCACTCTCTAGGACGACTACCCCCGGGACAACTACCCCTAGGACAACTACCCCCTAGGACAACTACCCCCGGACAACTACCCCCGGACAACTACCCCCTACGACAATTACCCCCTGGACCAGTATCCCCGGACATCTACCCCCTACGACAACCATCCTCTAGGACAACTACCCTCGGACAACTATTCTAGGGGGTAGTTGTCTGAGGGTAGTTGTCCGGGAGTAGTTGACTGGGGGTGGTTATCCGGGGGGGGGGGGATGTCCAGGGGGTAGGTGTCCGGATACGGGTAGCTTTGTCTATGATACTGTAATGATAATTATAAACCTTTTGGTCAGTCAGGAACCCCATGATTTTTACAAGCCGACCGCCTGTCTGATTATCAAGAGATTTATGATTGGAAATTAAAACCAAATTTTGCGTTTGCCTAACGGTTTCATTACACTTCACTGAATTGGGGAACACGAGTATGGTAAAACCGGTCACTCAAAGATTTTTACTTTTTGAGGCACTTCTTGATCATTTTGAAGCGCGATTATTTTTAGGGTTTCAATATTACACCATATCACAGAAACGGATAACACGTATAGGGTTATGCACCTCAGATTTAACATTGTTAAACGATGCCTTTACCATACAAACATGAAACAGTATTAAAAGATTGTTTAAACAGCAACTTGTATGCTGAAAACCATTAATTGTTTTTTTTTAAAGAAGGAAAATAAAAGGAAATCAACTCACCTATGAATCGCAAATACGTGAAATAGAGGAACCTGATCACTTCAAGGAAACCTAACCCCAAGATATAACTTTAATTATTCTGAGAATATTCTTGCCCACAAAATTCCCCACCAAAGCGTATGAGAGAGAGGCATAAAGCAAGAATAATGAACAGTTTCTCAGCACGACATGGGCATCGCCTTACCTATTATGTGAAGTCGTTTATCAAGTAAATGTATTTAAATTTATGGATGCTTCCTTCCCAGGTGTGGTCATTCACCTGCTATCATCCTTTGTACTACATTTGCCAGAACGCAAATTGCATAAATAAGTTGGTGCTCTTCTGGGGTGAAGGATTCTCATAAATGAAATAGATTAGTTAACTTATTTTTAAATGAATTGGTTACAATTGTTCCCCTGTAATGTATTGTGACGGACACGGTTCGCCACCTTGGCTTGACACGGAGTATTTGTCAGGATGCCCGTGTCAGGCCAGGCGCTCTCCGTCCGTTTGGACAAAATATATGCCCGTAGCTTGATGGCTGGAGTCATTCACTGCTCACGTTACAGGGCGTATCAACAATCATTCGTCCATCGACTGCAATCGGTCACCTAAACATCTTGTTCACAACATCAATCAATTGAGCATCCTTCGAGTAATCAATTTCCCTTGTCAACACTTGTCACTGGTTCTCGTCCCTTGGTTTCACTGCTCTAGAAATCAGACCAATTCACGAATTGCATGCTATCGAAATTCTTTAATGCGAACCACCAATACATGGTGTAATAACAACACAAGTGCAAATTATATAAGGCCAGCGCCAGCCTCGGTGAGGCTGGCCTGTATCGGATACAGAGCAGTGGAAACTTCTAATTACACAATCCTCCCCACACTAAAAATTTCCCTATACATAAACGTATAAAAGGGCAATTATATCCTGGTTAATAAAACAACACTTCAACACAACATTTCTGCTAATCCCATTAAATCTTCACATATAATCTTCAGTATAAGCCCTTATTCCTGATTAGATAACTATTATACAAATAACATCCCTAAAAGAAACATGATAATTGCACCAACATGATCAAAATATGTAATTTATGCTCATTTTCCTTCAGTTTGGTAATTGCTAAATCAACGATGCGCCATATTGCTATAGCGCATGCGCATATCTGTGCGCACGACAGAAAATGCTTAACCTTCGTCCAATACTAAAACCCTGATTTGTTTCAACTAAATCTTGGTGCTTGATACCTGTACAATTTCAACTGGTACGTCACATTTTCAGGAAAATGGCCGCGCCCATGTCATGCTAAAAGGCATAACATCATGTCAAGAACATCTTCATTTCATTTTCGTAAGGAATATTGTACATCAAAGGTCACGATCTCATTTTCCAGAAAACCTACACTTATTCTTTTGGGTGAGGTTTCCTTTACGCTACCTCAACCTGCCTTCAAAATCTTGTATTCTATACTGTACATCGATGCAATTCACTAAAGCATATCGGCCTCCGCCCAGACGACTTTTATGGGCATTTACCATGTCTATGATTTGCTATGCATACGACCTGTACATACAATTCCTTAGAATTCAATGTAAGTTTTTCCGTTTCCAGGATCACCATTAAAAGGGATATTTGAGTTCTGTTTTCAGACCGCAAATGCCTTCAAAGTGCAGGGTTATTGCTCTTATTCTTATCTATGACATTTCTAGTGTCCTTTTAAGACCTAAAATTGATATGAAGGTAATTTTAGACCCCAAAATGTGTGAAATTTAGCCAATACGATCATATCAATTCAGCTCCACTTTAAAAAAAATACGGTGTCCGTTAATTAATTAATAGATTTAAAATAACAATACATGGGCCGGCAGGTAGTGCGTAATATAACCAACACGAAAATGCCAATAAAAAAGTCAACATATCGGCTTTGGCTGTAATACAACGTAAATGGCGCTATTTCGTTTTTTCAACGGCTTTTTCAAATTATCGAATATTTGTGGTGGTACACAAGTATTAGAATTCGTTTTATTTATGGATATTGTGTAGCGCCCTCTGCAACAGAACTCAACTATCTCCTAAAGTATGTTTTTAACAGTTATTTAACCATGAAAGATATAGCGTCTTTTTTTCTTTCTTTCTATTTCACTTTAAAAACCCCGCCGTTCTACGGGCCCTCTGTATTATTCCTATGGAATCCCAGCGACAGCCACTTCTCCGAGCTCCTTGCCTGTGACCTCCGCAGCTCTGAGCTAAGAGGGCGAGCCAATGTCGGGGACTTCGGACATGTACACCATCTGCATCTGCCGTCATTTACACCATATCCTTTCAGGTTATAGTAATTATTTAAACAAATAAATAATGGTAATAATGTTAAAGGAGTATAATGTATAACATTTTTAGAAAGTGTTCATGGTGGAATTGGTGGTGGTGGAGATGGTGGTAGCGGTGGTGGCGGTAGTGGTGGTGGTTGTAGTGATGGAAGTGGTGGAGATAGTGGTGGTAGTGCATCGTGTTGGCGGTGGTAATTGTGGGGGTGAGATGGTGGTGGTGGAATTTGAAGTGGTGGTGGCAGGGGTGGTGGTGGCAGGGGTGGTGGTGGTGGTGGTGGTGGTGGTGTTAGTGGTGGTGGTGTTAGTGGTGGTGGTGGTGGTGAAAAGAAAGGACGACAATGAAGACAAAAATATTTCCTTGTTGTGTCAAGGACTTATACGTGTATGTTCTATATAAATGTATAACTTTTTATGACTATACATAGAACTAAATAAAATCAATATTATATATCGTTTAAAATGGCCAACAGATATATGATGGATAAAATAACATTTATGTTTAAGTTAAGAAAAATCACTTTTTTATTGATGAAAAGTGCATTTTTGGGGGGACGATCATCCTGTGAGAATGAAAATCGAGAGAAAAAAGTCACAAGTGAGGGAAGGATGGTGGTTGTTTTTTTTTATTCATAATTTTTTTTTAAAGAGAAGAGGAAATTAAAAGAAGAAGAAGAAGAAGAAGAAGAAGAAGAATCCAGATATCAGTGCCATTGATTAGGAGAGTTTGGCCAACCTGGTTCGAGTTGAACACAATATGGTGACTACTGCTTTGTTGGGCAAGCACAAAACAAAAGAATATACGCCATGTTGTGACCAAGTGAAACCAAGTTGGCCAAACTCTGTCTATAGATGGCTCTGCCAGATTGGTCCCACAGCGCCAATGTCATTTTTCATTCAATCATCCGTATAAAAACTAGCGATATCTTTGTTTATCGTCGCATAAAGTGGCGACTCTGAAGGTCGGTGTAAGACGATGTTTGCTGTTCGATTGCTTATGCGTGTCCTCATCAGGACAATGAAAGGTAGAGAAAGTAACCCAAAATGATTGGATTGAATTGCTGAAACATTAGACACCAACTCAAGAATCACTGACCTAGCGGGCATACCATAGAAATAGATACTAACGTATACGGTGGACTGTACAAACATTGTGAGAGGGTCGATAGAACAAGCTGTCAAGTTTGTACATGTTACACCAGTTAATTGTGCCTCTGTGCCAAAAGAATGCCTAATCTAATTACATAGAAAAGTGAAACAAGCTTTGATCATATTCACACATAGTTATTTAGGACAAGTTTTCTTTTCTTCAAAAACTGTATGTAAATAAAAGAAGTATGTGCAGTACTTTAGTTAGAATTAAAAAAGAACGGAAGCGAGGAGATCGTGTATTGTTATATATTGATATAACCGATATATGGGAAATGCGCCCCTACTAATTAAAATATTCATGGAAGGCAAACAGAAGGAGAGAAAAGGGGAGGCAGGAAAAGGTCGAAAGGAAAGGGAGATGATGGGATAATAGTTTATCTGTAAAACGCTTAGAGACATCGTAGACGTATTTAGTGCTATATGAAAGCGGAATATTATTATTTGGAGGAGGGGTAAGGGAGAGGCAATGTATATGCTCCTCCTGACAAATTTCCTCAAGAAAATATGCAGCAATTTTTGGTAAACTGGTAACTAGCAGGAAAGGGAATTATTTGTTAGTCAGTGCCGACAGAAACGCTCGAGATGTAGACACGTTCCAGGCGCGGATCCAGGATTTTCCAATAGGGGGGGCCGGAAATTTGAAAATTGCGCAGACCGTTTTTCAACTCAACGTACGTCTGACAAGGTCATATTAGAAGCACCATACCGGTTATTTTTTTGACATTTTCATCGGGGGGGGGGGGGGCTGAAGCCTCATGCCCGAAAAGGTAATTTTCTGGTTTCACAATTCGGCTAGTGAGCGAAGCGAGCGAGCAAAAATTTGAGGATAATATGTATTTTGTGAAAGTGTTATTTATAACCAAAATATACGAGAAAAGATATAACAAATTCTTATTCGGGTAGCTCGCTGTTCCCCTCCCTCCCCCCCCCCCCCCCCATTACGCGCGAAGCGCAGAAGCTTTAATGTTTCATGAAATTATTAGAGAAAGAAGAGGATTCGTTGTACCATTCTCGACTCCTAATCCTTGTCTGAATTTAGTTCCTTCCCCCCTGCTCCCCCCCCCCCTCCCGCGCGAAGCGGGGAAGTTTTAACCTTCCATTAATTGATATTAGAGAAAGAAGACGATTTATTGTACTATTCTCGACTCTTATTCCTTGTCTGAATTCAGTTTTCCCCCTTCCACGCGAAGCGCTGAAGCATTGGCCTTTCATAGTTTAATGAAATTATTAGAGAAAGGAGATAATTCGTTGTTCCATTCTCGACCCTCAATTCAGATTCCCCCCTCCTGCGTGAAGCGCGGAAGCTTTGACGTTTCATTAAATTATTAGAGAAAGAAGACGATTCGTTGTTCCGTTCTGGTTTCTTAATCATTGTCTGAATTCAGTTTTCCCCCTCCGCGCGAAGCGCAGAAGCTTAACGTTTCATCAAATTATAAGTGAAAGACGACGATTCGTTGTACCGTTCTCGATTCTTAATCATTGTCTGTATTCAGTTTCCATACCCCCTCCCGCGCGAAGCGCGGAAGCTTTGACGTTTCATTAAATCATTAAAGAAAGAGTACCGTTCTCGACTCTTAATCCTTGTCTGAATTGAGTTCCCCCCCCCTCTCCCGGGTGAAACGCGAAAGCTTAACGTTTCATTAAATTATTAGAGGAAGAAGACGATTTGTTGTACCGTTCTCGAT